AACTCCTCGAGTTACTCTCCAATCGAACATCTAAGTAGGGTAATGGCCATAATAATTTGGTACATCCTATTGACTCAGCATGATGGTCAATCACCCAATCCTTGATGTTAATTCCGATAAATTTCAATCTTGCGATATTTGCTAACACTTGGATAAGAGTAAGCGCATTCATAATGAACGTGTACCATGTTCCGAAAATAAGGTCATGTAGTTAGCAAATTATAGATATGAAATCTCAACACTCTCCCTACTTTGATGCTCTTCATAATACCCCTACCAGTCGCCCTATTCAAGATCCTACTTTCAACATCCACAACAAGGGTGAAGAAAAAAGGTGAAAGAGGATATCTCTGTTTTAATCCTGTCAAGGCTGTGAACCAATTTTGGGGCTTCCCATTCAACATTTCTACAGAAACAGATGATAGACACCCTTGAAAACCACCTTCTCCACCTATCCTCAAACCCCTTATGCTCTACTCACTTCATCTTGGAATCTCCAGTTCACCATATCATAAGTTTTCTTGAAGTCTAATTTGAGAACCAACCCATTCACTTTCGTCCTTCAGGTGTACTCCACTACCTCGTTTGCAATCAATGAAGCATCCAAGATTCATATTCACCTCCCATAAAGGCAGTTCGGTTAAGTGAAATAGAGTCATCCAAGAGCTCACCAAGTCGTAGGGAGAGGTCACTGGTGATAATCTTGTATACACTTGTCATTGAACTAATTGGCGAGAGTAGAAGACCTTCATATACTTGTTCCTTTTAGGAACTAAAGTAATGAAAAAGGAGTTCATACTCTTACAAATGCTCTAATTTAGGTAAAACTTCTCAAACACTTTAAATATATCCCTTTTAGTGAATGTGCCAACACTCCTTAAAAAACTCCATTATGGATCTATCAGGTTCTGGAGCTTTATTATTGAGTAAGTTCCAAACTGTCTTCCTTATTTCCTCCTCCTTGAAAGGTTCTCCATCCACTCAATCTTTTCACTCTTTTTTTTCGAAATAAAAAGTATAAAATTATTATTCACAAGGTGTAAAAAGGGGCACCACCAGTACATACAAAACATTTACAATTGTGTTAGGATGTCAATGACACCCCCAAAATCTTCCAGCCTAACAATGTCATGTTTTAACAAGATAAACCCAACCCAAAATAATGCATCCATCTATTTTTAAACTTATTATTCTCTACCTCTTTACTATCAAATGCTCAACTATTTTTTTCCATCCATAAGATCCAAAATACAGGCAAAGGAATAATCTTTACAAAATCCTTTTTTTTACGCAAACCATTCCAAGGCCAAACACCTTCCCTAACCGAACCTGCCATGACCCAATTAATGCCCAATAATTCATAAATCATACACCAAAGGCTATGAGGAATAGGACACCAAAACAAAATGTGATTGCATGATTCCGCATCACTCATGCATAAGTAGCATCTGTTAACCACGATCAGTCCCCTTTTCATCAAATTGTCGGTAGTCAAGATGCTTTCTCTGCAAGCTTCCCACGCAAAGAAAGTCATTCTAGGGGCAGCTTTATTTCCCCAGATTTGAGAAGCCGAGAAGAAATCATTCATGCACTTGTCAGACCCCGAGATGTGAAGATAATATGTCTTGACAGAAAATTCTCGACTCTTGCCAAGTTTCCACACAATTTTGTCACTGCATGTGTTGATCTGCTGTGCCTCCAAGGTTTTTAGTAAAGATTCATATTCATTCACCTCCCAATCATTTAAATTTCTGCTAACATTGACCATCCAAATCACCTTCCCATTAGTTGTCTCTTAGGCCTCTTCAATTTTAATATTTTATTTTTTAATCAAACAATCGCATAAATGCTTGGAAAAGTGCTCATGAGGCTAGTATTCTCCATCCACACATCCTCCTAGAATTTAATACGCTCACCTTTGCCAATGCACCACTAGATACATTCTTTGAATCTTGCCCAACCCATCATAATTTTCCTCCATAAACCACATCCATGCGGTCAAATTGTTTTACCAAAAATGAGCTCTTCATTAGCATCCCCCCACCTAACGGCAATTATTTTCCTCCAAAGCCCATCATATTCTTTAAACTATTGCCACAACCATTTCCCTTGAAGAGCCACATTCATCTCAACAAGAGACTTAATTCCCAGCCCTCCTTTTCATATCGGTTTCTTCACCTCTTCCCACTTGACTAGGTGAAATCTCCTTTTGTCATTGTCATCCCCAAAGAAAACAGCATTGAATGGATTCTATTCTCTTTGCTACCTTCACCAGCATGGTAAGAGTGGATATATAATAAATGGGTAGGTTGGTGAGTGTACTCTTAATAAGAGTGAGTCTTTCCCTCTTTCAATAGAAATTTCCTTTTTCATCCAGCAAGTTGGCTCTCAATGGAATCAATAACCGGTTCTCATGTACAAGAATCTTTGTATTTGTAGCATTGCACCCCATAATGCCAGCAAGGTAGTTTTCATCACTTGTGTTGTCGAACCTTACCAATTTTTTCTTCCTTAAGTTAATTTTAAGGCAAGAAACCAGTTAAAAACACATCTCAAGTGCAAGAGATTTCTAACCTCTGGCTGACAAAAAATCAAGCTATCATCAGTAAAGAAGAAATGTGACACCTGAACAGCTTTAGATCCCTTCCCAACAGTTATACCTTTCAAAAAGTTCAGATCAATAGCCCTACCAATCAAAGCATTCAGCGCCTCCATTACAATTAAAAACAATAACAGAGAAAGGAGGTCACCCTGGCGCAACCTGCGTGATGTAGAAAAGAAACTAGATGGTCTGCCATTAACTAATATCGCAAAAGAGGTGGTAGTGATACAATTGTTCATCCAATTAATCAATTTTTGTCCAAAGCCCATTCTTCGCATAATGTATTCGAGAAAGTCCCAGCTGACATGATCATAAACCTTCTCCATGTCTAACTTACACAGGACCCCTTCTTTTTTGCCTGACATTAATTCATCCACCACTTCATTTGCAGCCAAAACCGCATTCAAAATATGTCTTCCACCCACAAATCTCAATCTTTTCACGCGTAATGGGTGTCCAATCAACTTCCTCTAAGAACAGCTAACGACTTCTTTCCTACACAAGTTCTTGTAATATCAAGTGATCTTCCTACCTATGGCCTCCCTCTTCTTTCCACCACCCCGCTTTAAAGCTCAAGCACTTTGATAGCACTTTTCTTTCTTCAGCAATTGGCAACTTTATGGAACAATAGAGTGTTAGTCTCCCCTTCCTTAACCCACTTAAACTTCACTTTATGACACCAACTTCTTTCTTCTAACATCAAAACCTCTTCCAACTCATTTTTTTAACTTTGATAGACACTCTTTTTTATTTTCATAATGGAACCCTCCACTAC